GCCCGAACAGGGACTTGAACCCTGGACCCTCAGATTAAAAGTCTGATGCTCTGCCGACTGAACTATCCAGGCTCTGGCTGCAAGGGTTTATTATTATTATTATTACAACGGTAGCGCCTCTAACTCCAGATCAGGTTGGGTGCTTGGAAATTGCCTGTATGTGTGAGCAATATTGGATTTGTGGTCATCTCTTGCTCTGCAAACATAGCCAATACGGTAGTGTGGCCGAGTGGTCCAAGGCGCTGGATTAAGGCTCCAGTCTCCTCGGAGGCGTGGGTTCAAATCCCACCGCTGCCAAAAAGCTTGTGGTCTTGACTCTTGAGTTCAACAAAGGAGACAACGAACTCTACTGAGTTATTTGGTGTTTGCAGCATTCTACTCTGCACACAGGGACCCCAAAAAATAACTACGTTGTCTCTGCCTGTCTTTGGCCGCAATAAAGAATGCAAAATCTGGGCAAGACTTGGACCATGGGTCCAAGACCTCGCCTTTATCAGCTCTTCTCTCACAGAGAGCTCGCTCCCAACAAACGACATATCAGCCAGTCCTCCTGCGCAAAAGGGAGTGTCCTTCGAGCCGGATTTGAACCAGCGACCTAAGGATTCCAGCCTTACATTCTACAGTCCTCCGCTCTACCAACTGAGCTACCGAAGGTGATCACATCAAAGAGACGATGTGGCTTGAAGCTAACCCAACTACTGCGACTGTATTTCCACGCAAAAGCGTCTCTCAATCTGCCTTTGGGAGACTACTGAGGGGGCATCTGGAGTTGAACCAGAGACCTCTTGATCTGCAGTCAAATGCTCTACCACTGAGCTATACCCCCGAGCTATGCCCCCATGAAACAAGACCAATTTGTCACAGCTATACCCCATGAAACAAGACCACTCTGTCACACAAGTCTGCTTCCCTCTCTAGACATTTGCAGCGGAAGGTCTCTGTGGCGCAATCGGCCAGCGCGCTCGGCTGTTAACCGAGAGGTTGGTGGTTCGAGCCCACCCGGGGACGCTCCCACAAGGGTAGCAACCATGTAGCTAGCTCATTTTGTTGCTTGGTTTAATGCAATGAAAAGACTTTTGTGCTAAAAGGTCTTCCCATACCGGGAGTTGAACCAGTGGCGCCTGGGTGAGAGATGAGAGATGATACTTTATTTTCTCACAATGGACAAATTCAGTTTGTTGAAAAAACATCAAGGCTGGCTGCATACTAAATTTCTGCACTAGTAGACATCCCTCCCACGTTGCGGTAGATCAGGCCAACTCCAAACCCAATCAGGAGAAAACCTGCTATATATCCTCAATGTCTTCAATGGACAGTCGCGACAGACAAATGGGGTGCCACAAAACCAAGTCAGTAAAAAAAAAAAAATATAAAAAAAAAAAAAAAGTTTTTTCCCCAAATTACAATTTGCTCAACATCTTTCTCTGGGAACTTTTGTTCCATTCATCCAACCGTAAAACAAGGGTTTTCCAGGATTTTCTGTCTTTTGCAAGACAGGAGAGGTTCTCTCCACCGGCCTCGAGACAGACGATCCACATAAATCCAAGAGGGCTTGCATTGACCGGCAGGTGGGAATTCTACCATTGGACCACCAATGCATGGAAGGGTGACTTTTTAGGTTTCAGAAATTTGGGTGGAGGAACCAAAAAGTCTGAGAAAGGGGTCTTGTCCGACGAGGATGGGATTCGAACCCACGCGTGCAGAGCACAATGGATTAGCAGTCCATCGCCTTAACCACTCGGCCACCTCGTCTGCCTTTCAGGTCATGTCAGGATGGCCGAGCGGTCTAAGGCGCTGCGTTCAGGTCGCAGTCTCCCCTGGAGGCGTGGGTTCGAATCCCACTTCTGACACTGTTGTCTTGTCCATGGCTGGGAAATTTGCTCTGACTCCCATGGGGCTGAGACCTCGCCTTTATCAGAGCTCACTCCAACAAACGACGTATCAACCCCTGGCCCAAAAGAATTCATTCTAGTGGCCAGCTATGCACTTTGGTCCATGAAAGATAAGGCAACGCATGGCAGGTGGCGTTGCTGGCACAAAAGAATTCATTCTAGTGGCCAGCTATGCACTTTGGTCCATGAAAGATAAGGCACCGCATGGCAGGTGGCGTTGCTGGCAGGATTCGAACCTGCGCGGGGAGACCCCAATGGATTTCTAGTCCATCGCCTTAACCACTCGGCCACAACAACACACTGTCGTGCTCTGGTAATGTCAGCCAAGGCATTGCTGGATATTCAATTGTGCCATGGACTAGGGCAATCCATCCTTTTGACTTGGAGTGTAATCACCCTGTCTTTTGAGTTGTGGTTGGGGACTTTGTGGCGCAACGGTAGTGCGTCTGACTCCAGATCAGAAGGTTGCGTGATCAAATGACGTCAGTGTCATTATCTTTACCAAAACACGTTACAAATTCGTTAGATTCTTTTCAATGAAAAGCACTTCTCTGCAAGAACACCACAGTGTTTGTTAAATGCGATGGCCGGGAATCGAACCCGGGTCAACTGCTTGGAAGGCAATCTACAAGTGTGTAGGCGTCTTTGGTGGCTCCATAGGTCAAGGGTCAAGATCAAGGCTTTGGCAGTTCCCTTTTCAAACATCCACCAACCACAGTTCCAAATTTTCAACACATTTATAACTAATCTTAAGCCAAAGTCCAAGTTCGTATTGTCTTTTCTTCAATAGTTTGCAAGAATGTCAAACCACTCTAAAATATCGACAAAAGGAGTGTCAGGAGTGGGATTTGAACCCACGCCTCCATCGGAGACCAGAAACCCCAGCATTGGCGTTGAGGAAGAGGCACATCTTGAGTCTGGCGCCTTAGACCGCTCGGCCACCCTGACTATTGAAGCAGCAGTGATAGGTGAGATTATAGTAAATGTGTTTAATGGAGGTCACGACAAAGACCTCAGGACCTTCAGCTCACACAGCTAACAAGAGTTTGGGTGATCGCCCGAACAGGGACTTGAACCCTGGACCCTCAGATTAAAAGTCTGATGCTCTGCCGACTGAGCTATCCAGGCTCTGGCTGCAAGGGTTTATTATTATTATTATTACAACGGTAGCGCCTCTAACTCCAGATCAGGTTGGGTGCTTGGAAATTGCCTGTATGTGTGAGCAATATTGGATTTGTGGTCATCTCTTGCTCTGCAAACACGGCCAATACGGTAGTGTGGCCGAGTGGTCTAAGGCGCTGGATTAAGGCTCCAGTCTCCTCGGAGGCGTGGGTTCAAATCCCACCGCTGCCAAAAAGCTTGTGGTCTTGACTCTTGAGTTCAACAAAGGAGACAACGAACTCTACTGAGTTATTTGGTGTTTGCAGCATTCTACTCTGCACACAGGGACCCCAAAAAATAACTACGTTGTCTTTGGCCGCAATAAAGAATGCAAAATCTGGGCAAGACTTGGACCATGGGTCCAAGACCTCGCCTTTATCAGCTCTTCTCTCACAGAGAGCTCGCTCCCAACAAACGACATATCAGCCAGTCCTCCTGCGCAAAAGGGAGTGTCCTTCGAGCCGGATTTGAACCAGCGACCTAAGGATTCCAGCCTTACATTCTACAGTCCTCCGCTCTACCAACTGAGCTACCGAAGGTGATCACATCAAAGAGACGATGTGGCTTGAAGCTAACCCAACTACTGCGACTGTATTTCCACGCAAAAGCGTCTCTCAATCTGCCTTTGGGAGACTACTGAGGGGGCATCTGGAGTTGAACCAGAGACCTCTTGATCTGCAGTCAAATGCTCTACCACTGAGCTATACCCCCGAGCTATGCCCCCATGAAACAAGACCAATTTGTCACAGCTATACCCCCATGAAACAAGACCACTCTGTCACACAAGTCTGCTTCCCTCTCTAGACATTTGCAGCGGAAGGTCTCTGTGGCGCAATCGGCCAGCGCGCTCGGCTGTTAACCGAGAGGTTGGTGGTTCGAGCCCACCCGGGGACGCTCCCACAAGGGTAGCAACCATGTAGCTAGCTCATTTTGTTGCTTGGTTTAATGCAATGAAAAGACTTTTGTGCTAAAAGGTCTTCCCATACCGGGAGTTGAACCAGTGGCGCCTGGGTGAGAGATGAGAGATGATACTTTATTTTAGACTGGAGCCTTAATCCAGCGCCTTAAACCACTCGGCCACACTACCGTATTGGCCGTGTTTGCAGAGCAAGAGATGACCACAAATCCAATATTGCTCACACAGGCAATTTCCAAGCACCCAACCTGATCTGGAGTTAGAGGCGCTACCGTTGTAATAATAATAATAATAAACCCTTGCAGCCAGAGCCTGGATAGCTCAGTCGGCAGAGCATCAGACTTTTAATCTGAGGGTCCAGGGTTCAAGTCCCTGTTCGGGCGATCACCCAAACTCTTGTTAGCTGTGTGAGATGAAGGTCCTGAGGTCTTTGTCGTGACCTTAGGGAGGTCACGACACGTTGTCGTGTCCCGCTGGGAGGAGATGAGGTGGCGTGTTGTGATATGTTATGGTCCTCATTGCTCTCTAAATTTACAAAAAGGCTACAATTATGGAAGTTCCGTAGCTTAACAATAAAAGGGAAAATCTTGGTTGTTAATGCATTATGCATGTCTATTTTAAATCATGCTCTTGCCGTGTATGACCTGCCAGGGGTCTATGTGTCCAGTTTTAGAGCGGCAGTGAACCACTTTGTGTGGGGGCGTGACCCGGGTTTGATTGCGCATGCTGTGCTCATTGGAGAATATGAACAGGGAGGGCTGAAATTAGTAGATTTGGGGTTGAAAAGAAAAGCTTTTCGGCTAAAAATATTAAGGAAATTTTTAGATGTTGAAGTAGACGCTCCATGGAAGAGTTATGTAGGTCAGAGCATTAGTCAGATAGGGACTTTTGGGATCTACAATTTATGTTTGATTCCCCCTGTCTCTGTCCTGGATGCTCTTCGGCCTTTTGAGAGGGAACTCTTGGAGGCATGGAGAGCGTTCAGGCCTCTGACGGTGGCGGTACCAGACTCTCTTGAGGCTCTCATGCTCATGCCACTCCGTCACAACCCTGACATGCTCTCGGCTCCTCCTGGGAAGCGAGAGTGCATGGTCAGTGGGGCGATGGAGGAGAATGGATTTGTAAATATAGGTGAGGTGTTTGATTCACAGGGAAAGTTTAGCATAGATCACATGGGGAGGGTGTTTAGACAGAAGGGCAAGGGCTTTAGGAAAAAGTATATAGAGGCACAGGTAAGTAATTTTAGCAGGAATCTAGTCAGGCATTGGGGTGGTCTCTTGGGGCGCACGGGGATCACTACAGGTAAGTTGGATTTTAATGTTGCTTTGGGCATGGGGAGGTTTAGGCCGTTCACAGACCTGCACACCCGAGCTTTGTACCTGTTGTTGTTGTCGGGTGTATTCAGGAGCCCCACCGCTGAACACATATGGTCACAAACATTCCCCACACGCACCATTGCATCCATCTGGGCTCACATATACAATTGGTACACTCCGCATAGAGTGAGTAATTTTGACTTCAAATTTAGACACAGGATCATATTTACTTCCCCTAGACTGCACGCATTCCTTCCTGACAGATATGGCAGAGACTGCCCCCTGTGTCAGGGCCCCCCCGAGACCTTGGAGCACCTGCTGGTCTTGTGCCCAGCCGTCCGCCCCTTCTGGACCCGGGTCCAGGATCTGCTCGCACGGAGGCTGGCATGGAGACTCCCCACGCCGGCTGCCCTAGGAGGGGGAGACAAGGAGTCCTGGCTCCTCCACTTTGGGCCCATCGGAAGTCGCTCTGGAGCCACCACCAACATCGACCTGGTTCGACTCATTACTGCAATGGCCCGCTACAGAGTCTTCATCGTCCGGAACATCTGTCTTCACGACCGCCGAACAGGACTTCACTGGCCCACATTCACAGGACTGTTGACCGCACACCTCCGTCACCTGCACTCTGCATTGGAGCAACGGTTCACCAGCACTCTTGTCCCCCACAACACCCTGATCCAACTCACACCATCTGGACTGACACTGAACCTCTGACAACACTCACCATGGATCCCTGTCACATCCCCTAGCCCTGGGAACCCCTCCCCCCATTGGACTGTCAGTATTGCATGTTATGGTCGGTTGTCACATTTGTCTGTTAACTCCATAATGTGTCCACTCCCCTTCCCATCCAGACCCTTCCCACTTACCCACCCATCCTCTTGTGTGTGTCTGTAAAACATTATGTGTGTGTCTGTAAATATTATGTGTAAATACTTTTTGAATCTCTGTACTGAATTTTAATTGTGTTTTGATAATAATAAAAAAAAAAAAAACCAGGAATCCTAACCGCTAGACCATATGGGATTCACCAGGTAAAAAAAACACAAGAGATTGTCTTCCGCACTCGACTTGTGACCCAACACTGCAGCGGCAAGTGATTGTTATTGCTCAGCCTGAAGTATTCAATATGAGAGCAAAACATTCACTTTGAAAGTGCTACCAGAGGAATTGTTTTAATGGCACAACTGGCGATTGAAGGTAAAAAAAAAATAAAAAGAAGTTTTTTTTCCAAATTCCAATTTGCTCAACATCTATCTCTCGGAAATTTTGTTCCATGCATCCAACCGAAAAAAAAGGGTCTTTCAAGGTTATTTTGTATGTATCTCAGAGAGGGCCTGCATTGGCCGGGAATCGAACCCGGACCTCCCGCGTGGCAGGCGAGAATCCTACCATTGGACCACCAATGCCTTAGCAACTCAATATTAAGGTTAAAAAAGAAAGAAAATGGCTAGAGGAACCAAAAAATTCAAGAGTGGAAGGTTTTTGCGACGGGGATGGGAAACCTTAAGAGTAAGAAGGGCTAGTGCCAGGCCGCACTTTGGGCAACGGACTTGTTGACGAGGAAGCGCCTTGCCATGGTCCTCTCTGGTCACACACCATGAGGAAGGGGAGCCATGCCCAAAGGACCAGTGGAAAGGATGGCGGTAACTTCATGCCTCTGTGTTAGTTCGCTAACACACCTACTAACATTAGAACGATACAGAGAAGATTAGCATGGTCCCTGCGCAAGGATGACACGCAAATTCGTGAAGCGTTCCTCATTTTTGGCACCCCTGTTGTGCCATGGGATGCTCTGGTGCCGCACACTCGATAGGCTTGCTTTCTAAATTTGGTTTGACCTGTGCTTGAATGGTATTCTCCGTCTGCTGCGGCTGTATTTCCACGCAAAAAACCACTACGTGAGACTCAGCGCGCTCGGCTGTTGAGCAAGAGGTTAGTGATTCAAGCACACCAAGGGACGCTCTCTGTCATATGTAGCAGCTTTGTGTTGGATGGCAATGAATGGACTTTTGTGTTAAAACCATGTTCCCATACCGGGAGTTGAACCCAGGCCGCCTGGGTGAAAACCAGGAATCCTAACCGCTAGACCATATGGGATTCACCAGGTAAAAAAACACAAGAGATTGTCTTCCGCACTCGACTTGTGACCCAACACTGCAGCGTCTCGGAGCTGGAGAAGTACAAATGAAATTGAAACTTATAGTAACAAGGGGAAAAGGCAAAGGTATTCTTTCTCCCAAGTTTTTGACTTGATTAGTATTTTGTTTCTTGTCATTTATGGATAAAAAGTATTGCATAGAAACAGGAAAAAACAATTACTTTAAAAGTTTTGATGACAAAGAATATAAATCTAATGATAGGGGAAATGATATTGATCCAGAGACTCATCTCTGCAGTAGCACTGAGTTGGACTGTGAATATTATACAGAGGAGGACTTTAACATGAGTATGCAGGGATTCTCACTCATACATTTCAATAGCCGGAGTCTTTATAGAAACTTTTCCAAAATTAAGGACCATTTACAAAAGTTTGATGACTTTTCTGTAGTTGCAGTCTCAGAGACTTGGATAAAGGACGGAAAAGTATTTTTGGACAAATTAGACGGCTAATTTTTACGCAGACTCTATAAAAGAGGGGGTGGGGTTGCTCTGTTTGTTAGAACGGGCTTAGAATGCAGGGTAATCGAAAATATGACTTTTTCTATTGAGAACCTGATGGAGTGCTTAACTATTGAAATTAAAGCCAGAACAACAAAAAACATAATAATAACTTGTATTTATCGCTCTCCTGGTTCAGGAGAGCGATAAATATCAGTTTAATAAAAGGATTTCTGAGTTGTTTGAGCAAAAGGTTAACAAGTTGACTTTGATTTGTGGTGACTTTAACATTGATTTGTTAAAGTCCAATGAGCACTCACAAACTACAGAATTCATTAATACAATGTTTAGTTTGAGCTTCTACCCGCTAATATTGAGGCCAAGCAGGATAACAAAAGATAGTTGTACATTGATTGATAATATATTCTTAAATCAAACTGGTATAAAGACAAAAAGTGGACTCTTGTTAACAGATATTACTGATCACTTGCCTGTTTTTGTTGTGATGGAAATGTTTCATTACAATAAAACACCTCAATATTTGTTCGATATTGTTCACAGACACAAAACACCTATTGCTATTGAAGCCTTGAAATTTGAGCTCTTAAATTATGACTGGCAAGGAATCTATTTTGGAAATGTTAATGATTCCTATAATGCATTCTTAGAAATATTTCTTAATATTTATAATAAGCATTGCCCTCCAAAACGATATAAGCAAAAATGTAAAAAAGGATCTAAACCGTGGATGTTAAAAAGTTTGGAGAAGGCTTGTAAAAAGAAGAATAAATTATATAAAGAGTTTATGAAAAATCCTACAAAAGAAAAAGAGAAACTGTACAAAGAATATAAAAATAAATTAACAGTTATAATAAGAAGAAGCAAACAAGATTATTATGTTAACTTACTACATAAATATAAAAAGGATATTAAGGCCACATGGATGGTAATCAATAAAGTAATAGAAAACAAAAAAGAGATGATTTTACCTACAAGTATTAAAAATGCAAATACAACAATTGAAGACAAAAAAGAAATTACAAATGCTTTCAATCAATTTTTTGTTACAGTAGGTCCTAAATTAGCCAATCAGTTACCTACTGTTGGAAATATTGAGTTTCCTACTTCAAATAGCAACACAATGTTCCTAAATGGCGTATGTCAAAGTGATGTTTTAGAAGCAGTATATCAATTTAAAAGTAAGAATTCCACAGATTGTCATGGTATTGATATGTCGCTCATCAAAGATGTCATCCACTGTATTGTTGAGCCTTTAACCTATATTTGCAACAAATCTTTTTCAACTGGTATTGTTCCTGATCAAATGAAAATGGCTAAAGTGATTCCAATTTATAAAAGTGGAAATAAACAACTTTTATCTAATTATAGACCAATTTCACTGTTGCCACAATTCTCAAAAATATTAGAGAAATTGTTTGAAATTAGACTTGATGTTTTTATCAACAAATATGATTTATTGAATGACCATCAATATGGCTTTAGAAGCAATCATTCAACATCCCTAGCAGTGATGGAACTTGTAGAACATGTTGCGACAGCTGTTGATCAAAAGCTCTATACAGTGGGTGTATTTGTTGATTTGAGTAAAGCATTTGATACAATTGACCATGCACAATTGTTGAAAAAGTGTGAATATTATGGCCTTCGTGGTAAAACAAATCAATGGCTGCAAAGCTATCTTAACAACAGATATCTATATGTAAAAATTGATGATGTGGATTCACAGTTCGAAAAAGTTACTTGCGGAGTGCCCCAAGGCTCGGTCCTGGGACCAAAATTGTTTATACTATATCTAAATGATATTTTCACCGTATCACCCATGTTTAAATCCATCATGTTTGCTGATGATACTAACTTTTTTTGTACTGGAAAGAAACTGAATGAATTATTGCAATTAGTAGAAACTGAATTTGTTTTGATCAAAAAGTGGTTTGATTATAACAAGCTATCTTTAAATGAAAACAAGACAAAATTTATGATATTTGCAGGTAACAAAAAAACTGATGGTGTAAAATTACATTTAAAGAGTAATCCTAGATCACAAACTTTGTTGGAAACCGCACATTGAATATGTCAAGCATAAGGTGTCAAGGTCAATCGCAATATTGTATAAAACAAGGAATTTATTGAATAAAAAAGGATTGTTTTTGATACATAGTTCTTTAGTTATGTCCCATCTGTCATATTGTGTAGAGATATGGGGGAACGCTGGCAAGACATGTATAGATTCTTTATTTAAATTGCAAAAAAGGGCTATAAGGATTGTAAATGAGGTTGGTTATTGTGAACCAACTAATAATTTATTTATTCAAAATAAAACTCTAAAATTAATGGATATTGTCAACATCAAAGTGTTAGAAATTGTTCACAGGGTTAAAAACAATAACATTCCTAAGCCTATTAAGAGTTTCTTTAAATTAAGGGAAAGTTGTTATAACCTAAGAGGTCTATTTATTTTTGAAAATGTTAAAGTGAGCTCCGTTGTGAAGTCCAGATGTGTTTCAGTTGAGGGTGTTAAGCTATGGAATGGACTAAAAGATGAATTTAAACTATGTATTTCTTTAATTGGATTTAGAAGAATGATTAAACAGAAGCATTTGAGTGATTACCTCAAGCTTGTATGAAAATAAATGGAGATGTGCATGTGTACATATCATTCATTATTCTGTCTGTAAGTCACCAAATAGTTGTTCTTTATTTTTTTGTTATTTGATAAAGTATATCATTAGTGTGATAAGCTGTTTTTAGCATCAGTTATGTGGTTTGAACAAGGATAGGCATAAATAAGCATTGCTTCAGCCTATTCCTTTTTTGGTTGGATATTTTTGTTTTGTTGTTAGTGTTTGTAAATTTAAATGCCTCAACCAAAATAAACCATTCATTCATTCATTCAAGTCCCCTTACTGCCCTTGTTACTTTACTGCTGTCACCTTATATTGTGTGTACCATGTGCACTTGTATATTGTATATAGTAATTTTAATAATTCTATTCTAAATTATATTCCTTATAATTGCTGATTTTTAATTTTTGTATTATGCCTTCTCTACTCTTACCTCTCTTTCTGACTGTTGCACTGAGCCAAAGCAATTTCCAAGTCTGTGACTTGCTGTTACTTACAGTACGTGGCAATAAAAATGATTCTGATTCTGAAAAAGAAGCTTCCTAATCAAATGTTTATTAAAGCTTTCATAGACATGTCCTCATGCAGGAAACAAACCAGTGGAAGCGCATGGGTAGAATAGAATCGAGCACAATTTATAAACACGAACCAAAGCAGGATTGGTCAACATCGTACTCAAGTGGCATCCAAGGCACAGTCTCTATAGTCAGGACAGATCTCAGCCCCATCTTGGTGACTTCAGCCAGGGAGATGGAAGTATCTGCTCCAACATCCTCAGCCTCTGCCTCCAGAACGGAGGAAGTGATTGTGTTTTTATGACTTTTGTATAATTAGTATGTGTTAATAGAAACAGCAGAACCAGCATCAGAAGCTGAGAAGCATTCAATACCTTAATTTAATCTAATTTATAATTAAATTGCACATCTTCTATGTGTGAACTAGACAAAGGAATCCTGATGTTTTTACAGGAGGTTTTGAAACTGAAATACTTACAAACTGAAGTGTGTCCAGCAGAGGGCAGCAGTGGGTCTGGTAAACGTTTGTGAAAGACAGGTTTTATTTATTTTTAGGGTTGGGTTTAGAGAAAAATAAAATAGGGTAGAGGTTATTTACATGTTGATCAGTTTGCTTTGTTGAGCTAGCGGGTTAGCCTTGTCCATCTGTCTACAGTCTATACACTGCAAAAGAGAGAAATAATATGATGTAATAATTGCTTGGGTTTAGTGTTTATTTTTATTCTTTATCTTAACTGGAGTAAATTCTGACTGTCGTTAAACCAGATGTGCCAATGGGACAAAGCCATTAACCCTTTTTTTAATTTTGCTTGTCCCATTGGCAAATCGTGTTTATTAATTTTAACACAAATACAATACAAAATTCAGAACAAACCGGTAAAAGACAAACATACACAGTACAAGACATACAAGAAGACATAGAATACACACAGGGACAGTGAACAATGTTTAATGTAGGTGTGTGTGTGTGCATGTGCGTGGTGTGCGAGTGTGTGTGTGTGCGTGTGCATGTGTATTGCTTTTAAGTTTACAAAGAAAATTTAAATAAATAATATGATTAATAGTAATAATAATATTAATAATACCAATACCATTACCACCAAATCTTGTTTTAAGGCAGTTAAAACTTAAGAAGTACCTGGTACTAGTTTAACTGGGCTGATGGAATGTGCTGCTTTATGGTCCAGATTCCTGGTGTGAGTGGACGGTGTGACTGTGGTGGAACAGTGCATGGATGTGTTGTGGATAAACCTCCACTGTGCTGATTATCGACTGTGCCTGGCCTCGTCTTTCTGATTCCACCCTCTGTCTTTTAAAGTCACGATCGATCTGTGGAGTCCACTCTGGAGGTCTTAGCCCCGGGCTCTTATGCACTGACCAGCACAGCTCGGACCAGAGCAGCTCTGACCAGCACTGCTCTGACCATATCCTGTCAATATATGAACTTACAAACACTAACATTGAATACAATACATTTACCATGTCCATCTAGAGTTGGGGAGGGCAATCATTTTGTCTGTGGGGCCACATTGCATTATTGGTATATTGTGGCGGGCCAAACAAGTTCACACATGATTACCATTTTCTATTTAATTTAGAACAACATATTTGAGTCCAAGCTACCGCTATGAAAAAAATAAAAAAGGAGTGTATAAGATAGAATATTATTCGTCGCATAGTGGGGACATTTCAGTAAGAAGAATGCACATATACAGTCCACATCACGGCATGCAGGGTACAGTTACTTACATGCTCCGTATGGGCAAAGTCTGGTTTTTTGGGGCATTTGTTTCCCACTACAAACAGAGATGGCCATACAGGAGGCGCTTGCCAGGAGGCGTCTTGCTCAAGGACACAATGACAGCAGACATCAATGTAAGTTGATCTTGCAGTGGGCTTGAACTCACAACCTTCCGGCTTAAATGTCAGTGCTCCACAAACTGAACCACTGCCAAAGAAAAATACCTCAAGAAATCTATGTTATTTTGTGTTTCTGTAAAGCGTGTTAGCTCATCTTTTGCATCTGTGGCTTTTATTTTGATAACTTTTTACAACGGGAGGTACTTTGAGGAATGTTTTATTTTGTTAAATATTCACATATTTTTTGTTGTCTTTACAATACAATACAATTTATTCTTGTATAGCCCTAGGTCACAACAGAAGTCGTCTCAGAGACTTAACAAAACCATTGAAATCACCAACACAGGTCAGAGAATCAACAGTTAAAACACATGAAGAATATAAAGCACACACAGAACATGTTGTAGAATGCTAAAGTGTCCTGATCATCACCAATCCTCTTTAGGTTCCAATTCTTTCCTAAAATGCACCAAAGCTGGACTAAAGCTAAAGAAGGCTCAGTATTATGAAAAGATTAGAGATGAGAGAGAGATTATGCGGTAAAGGTGCACTTTGTTTATCCCCGTATATTTATTCTCTGCATTTGACCCATTCTGATGCCACTGGGGTGTCTATGAGGAGCAGTGGTCGTCGTACAACAGCCGGGAACTCATCTCCAAATGTTGATGCTCGGCTTGATCAGGACTATCGGAACTGGAGGATGTATTGTAAAAGGTGGAGAACATGCAAACTCTACTCAGAAAACCCTGTTCCAAACAGAATTTGAACCCAGGACCTTCTTGCTGAGAATCGAGAGTGCTATCCACTCAGCCACCATGCTGCCCTTTGAGGTATAGCATGCCATTATGGCATTCAGAAAGTCACACACCATTATTGGATTGTGATTCCCATTCATTTAAATAGAAATGTGAGTCTGGCTTTTTGTGGCCCCCTGGACTTTTCCTAAGTCTGATCCAGAGCCCAGAGCGGATATGAGGAGTGGACTGACATCCCCATAATGTTAGGGTACAGGCAGAAGAAGCTAATTTGAATATTAGCTAGCTGGAGCCAATTTCCTTATATGGGCATTTGTTTCGTAACAGGGGCAGACGTGTTGCTAACATGGTTGCTAAGGCAAGTTGTTCCCCACTGCTGCCAATACTGCTACTTTTGCTGTTTCTGCTGCTTTGTCTAATTTCACAGTGAATTGGTCCAAAATGTAAAATGATTACACAATGCATTGGCATCAAACACTACAGCGGTTGCCTGGCCTGCCAGACACTCATCCTTTCTGTTCAAAAGAAGAACCGTCTGGACACCTCTTCCTAGCCTATCATTTCACGATTTTACCCACATCGGTCCAATCACGCACCGAGAGGCGGGACTTCCTTTCACCTTTGAGTTGCTAATAACTCCTCGTATCTTTAAGTTTTTGTTACAAAATCGACAGCAGTCGTTTACATTTGCACTAGCTGACATGCCGCCATCCCTTGTTTTGTGTTTACTGAAACGGCTTGGGTGCCGCTAGTTGCTGCGTCATATCCTGTGTGCATCTAATTGGTTGATGCAGTCTGTCAACCACGCCCACCAGGAATTCGCTGAGATCAAGCTCGTTCCCAGACTATATGTCTTTGAAAAAGCATATCGTTTGGCAGGCCAGGCAACTACAGCGGCACGTTTTCCCGTCCTCAGCAGTTTTCCAGAATCTTGGGTCGACGTGTTTTGTATAAAAAATAGTTTAATTCATTTGTTCTTTAAATCTTCAGCTCTGGTTTCAAGCAACACAGACTTCACTTTAAATTACGTTTTTATCTTCATGGTGTTTGCTTTGGTGTTGGTTTTACTTTTAATTTCTATGCACAATGTTTTCCCCAATATGTTGTAGTTGGGCTGCACCCCCTCCCTGCCTGGGAAAATCTAACCTATTGTTTTGACCAAGCGGACTCCTCACAGACTTTATAACAAATGTGAAAACAGAGCATTCGAACAGAAGGGGCAGGGGGACGTGTTTGTGCCAGACATTCCTGATATCAGGATAGATGGATCTAAAAACAACTCCAAGTCTGTGTCTGTGAGGAACAGTGTTGGAACATGGAGAAAACCAGAAGCATCTGACTGGGTTCCACTGTCTCCCCTGCAGCAGCCAATCAGCACTCGGCCCAAAGAGGCAGATAGTGACTTCTGTGGCTCTTCCTGTGCTTCAAAAGTGTAAATACATAAAACACAAAATACTGGTTAGCTACAGCTACAGCTACATCCTGTGTTCTATTAACCTTGTTTAAATTGACCTCGGTCTTTACGTTGTTATTATTATGGCATGTTTTGAATTTTTTTTAAGCACTAATTTTCTTTCTTTTTTTCAAATTAAACAGTTATAATGAAATGTGTTTTGGGTTTATTAGTTACTTAATAATAACAGTGATAATTAATATACATTATTTTTGTATTGTATGTAGTCATTTTTAACTAAATTATTACATAAAAATGGGCGTCAGTGGCTCAGTTGGTAGAGCATTGGCCTTTAAAGTTGTAGGTTCGATCCCACCGTGAGACCCTCATCGACTCCCACTGAGGTCTGCTGTCATGGTCTCCTTGGGCAAGACACTTTACCCCACTTTGCCTGAAGCCCCTTCTGAAAGATCAAGGCTGAGTCGTCACAGACAGAGCACCCCCTGCAGGAGGATCAGTGAGGGGCTGAAATGGACGGATGGAAGGGGAAGAAAAAAATGATGGATGGATGTATATTACATAAACTTGCCTTGCCTAAATATTGTTTAAGAATAATAAAATAATGACACAAAAGTATTATTATTATTCATAATTAGATTAGTATTAGTATGAATTGATATAATTATGCTGTATTTATTTATTTACAATTGCGTAACTCCCGCCTCTCCGTCTCTCTCTACCTACCCCTCCCTCTCTCTCCACCTCTTTCCCTCTCTCTCTCTCTCTCTCTCACGCACATTCTCTCTCTTCCCCTCCCTCTCTCTCTCTCTCTCTCTCTCTCACGCACATTCTCTCTCTCTCTTCGTAACCGCGTCTGTCTGCCTCATCCATTCCGACTTCTCACGGCGTGTGGAGCGGACCGGCTCTTCCTCTCGTCCCCCCCCCCTTCCCCCTGGTCTCCCTCACTCAGCGACCGTCGAACAGCTCTCTCTTTCTCCCTTTTTCAACAAAAACCAACAAAGGAGCCGTACGCAGCCGAGATCACGCACGGAGGCGCTATGTGACGCACCGGGGCTTCACGAGCGGATAATGCGCGTGTCGGCAGAGGACTGTTATCTGCACGCGCGGTGAACTTAGAAGCAGGACTTTCACAGGTGAGGGATGTCATATCATTTTCACATATGCAGTCTACGTACACATATATATAAACAAATACATATATACATTTACACATTTATGAATGCAGTATACATACAATACACACAGGAGCTGTGCGCGCGTGTCAAAGGCTGCTTTCTCAACAAAAAACCAATATAAATACAATAACGACACTCCACTCATAGTCCTTCTTGTAAAACAGCTAATTATCTGCACTACTACTACTGCTGTACTGACAGATGTTTTACACAGTGGTATATTTTACACAGAGCTTCCATATTCGTCTTGAAGCTATTCTAATATTCTGTGATACAACACTGACATTTCCCCACTGGCTATAACGGAGAATGAAATAGACAGAAATAATGAAAATGTATACAGACCCTAAACCACAACAGCAGTCGTCTTGGAGGAGTTTACAAAGTTTTGGGTTTGCTAACAACAGATCTGAGAATCAGATAAATGCATTAATAACAGACACATAGGAGTCATTAGTCATTAGTCCATAGGGAGCAGGATGACCACTGCTCATGTCTCAGACCATCATTTCCTGCATCGGCAAGGAACCACTCAAAAACCTAGTGGGGAAAAGGGATAAACCTCAGAATGGCCCACATTGAGAGAGGGATCCAAACCCAATGACTGACAGACTGTAGATCCAGGACTGAGGCTATAGATTCAGGACTGAGGCTCTAGATCCAGGACTGAGGCTCTAGATCTAGGACTTAGGCTGTAGATTTAGGTCTGAGGCTGTAGATCCAGGACAGAGGCTGTAGATCTAGGTCTAAGGCTATAGATCCAGGACAGATGCTGTGTGGTGCAGGACTGAAGAGGCTCCCAGGTGGTAAGGGGGGCTGCAGCGCACGAGTCCAGGCCAGGGGTTGACCTGTTCAGTTTATCAGACATGTCCAGGGGCCGACAACATTGATTTTTTATGTTGACTGGTTTCAGGCTTTAAAATTCTGAACGTGTCCATATTGATTCACATCACAGCTACCAACATTTGCGTCACGATGGGTTCTGAGCTTCACTAAGAGGTAGAGCCTGACTATCCTGGTGAAGCTGAAATTGGCTCGATGAGCCGCATTTGGCCCATGGGCCTGAGTCTGGCCACCTCTGATACAGCCGGTATCCAGGTATAAGAATGTATGATCTGATCTCTGAAGCGTCAGATAGCAATCTGCAGGAGACAATCTGTATTTGATTCTCAAACTTTGAAGCTTATTTTAATTTTCTCTGTGGACCCTGAATCTGATCAGGGCTTTTCAGGAAACCAAAAATGTAATATTTACCATAATTCAATTCAATGTATTTGTGTACAGCCCTCTCAACAGCTGTCGCCTCAGAGAACAATGCTGTCAATTCACCAACAACAGATCGGAGAATTAGACAGTTCGATACCAGGAAATGCATGAATAAGAAACACATAAGAGCCATTGGTCCATAGGGAGCGGGACGACCACTGCCCAGAAGTGTTGATAAATGTCTGAGGCTATAGATCCAAGACTGAGGCTGTAGATCCAAGACTGAGGCTGTAGATCCAGAACTGAGGCTGTAGATCCAAGACTGAGGCTGTAGATCCAGAACTGAGGCTGTAGATCCAGAACTGAGGCTGTAGATCCAAGACTGAGGCTGTAGATCCAGAACTGAGGCTGTAGATCCAAGACTGAGGCTGTAGATCCAGAACTGAGGCTGTAGATCCAAGACTGAGGCTGTAGATCCAAGACTGAGGCTGTAGATCCAGAACTGAGGCTGTAGATCCAGAACTGAGGCTGTAGATCCAAGACTGAGGCTGTAGATCCAGAACTGAGGCTGTAGATCCAAGACTGAGGCTGTAGATCCAGGACTGAGGCTGTAGATCTAAGACTGAGGCTGTAGATCCAGGACTGAGGCTGTAGATCCAGGACTGAGGCTGTAGATCCAGGACTGAGGCTGTAGACCCAGGACTGAGGCTGTAGATCCAGAACTGAGGCTGTAGATCCAAGACTGAGGCTGTAGATCCAAGACTGAGGCTGTAGATCCAGGACTGAGGGTGTAGATCCAAGACTGAGGCTGTAGATCCAGGACTGAGGCTGTAGATCCAGGACTGAGGCTGTAGATCCAAGACTGAGGCTGTAGATCCAAGACTGAGGCTGTAGATCCAGGACTGAGGGTGTAGATCCAAGACTGAGGCTGTAGATCCAGGACTGAGGCTGTAGATCCAGGACTGAGGCTGTAGATCCAGGACTGAGGCTGGAGATGATATTATACTGGTACTACTGTATATGTCTGTTCCTTCCCTTTTCTTCAGAGATTGGGTCATTGACAGTTAGGAGCATACAGTGGTTTAGTAAAGTCAGAGGCTGATGATGAAAACACATGTTGCGGATGTGTCCAGATGAACTTCAGAAAATACCTACTTCCTGTTTGTCCTTTGACTTGAAGAGATTAAAGTGACAGTGATGTGCCAAACAGAAGTACATTCAGGGTCTTCTGTCTGCCTTTGTGTAAAAATACAGAAGTAATGGATCCATAACAGGGAACGAAAGAAGATGAGAATATTTGTATAAGCTGGAGGTTGAACGGGTCTGGATCAGTGGAGTAGTGTAGCATTTCTTACTGTCCATCTATCCATCCCTTCTTCGGGGGCGGGGGCAGTCAGAGGTGCACCTAATTCACAGAGCACCAGCCCCTCAATGATCCTCCTGCAGGGGGTAGGTCCATAGGAGCCTTGATCTTTCAGCGGGGGCTTCAGGCAAAGTGGGGTTAAGTGTCTTGCCCAAGGACACAAAGTCATTAGTGGGAGTCATTTCTTACTGTAATGTTAGAAATTCCCCAAAAGAAAAGATATTCCATCATGATCTGTAGATTCATCTAAGCCCTGTTTCCACCAGTGTTACTCTACTCTACTCTACTCTACTCTACTCTACTCTACTCTACTCTACTCTACTCTACTCTACTCTACTCTACTCTACTCTACTCTACTCTACTCTACTCTACGCTACTCTGCTCTACTCTTAATTATCTGAGATGTTTCTGTGGTAGACTTCCGCCTTTGTCAGAGGTGACCCGTGATGGTGCAACGCAGATGTGGCCAGTCTGACAGATCTCACAGATCCGCCAGACTGGTGGCCCCCGCCACGTTGTGGTCTCTGGTTCTGGAGAAGTTCTTCCCAAATGTGAGCCAAGGTGAATGCCCCCTTGGAGAAAATGCAACCGGAGAAAAAGTGTTATATACAAAATACCACAATAAAACATACATCCTGAAACAGGAAGAGCTTTCAGCACCAGAAGGAAGGAACATCAAAAGGAATGTAAAAAAGAAACAGCAGCACGACTAACAAGATCAACCAAGGAACAAGCAACACAGAAAAACCTCATATCAGCAATATCAGAGCACCGCAAAAAGAGAAAATCACATAATGGACAGGAACAATGCAAAAATAGTAGGAAGAAAAAAAACAAGAAATGAGGAAGCGGGGATCACAGACCATCAACAGAGATGAGGGGCTTTACCCTTGGCTCACACTTGGGATTGACTTCTCCAGAAGTGCTGCAGGAGACGAGGCCAGTCTGACGGATCTGTTAGTTCTGTCTGACTGGACACATGCAGCTAAAACAGTTGATAACACCTCTGACAAAGGCAGAAGTTTACCACCGAATTATGTCAGGTATTTAACCAGTACTAGCTTACTTTACTCTTTGTCTTATTAAAAACCATATTTTAATATTTTTTGAATCATATGCTATGAAATGGTATAGCTCTACTCTACTCTGCACCAGGTGCTACAGGGGGACGTCTGTAAAGTGCCAAACTGTTGTTGTGTCCTTAAGACACTTCACATTCTAGGCCACATTGCCTAGAATGAGTCTGACTCGCCTGAGTTGCCTCTGGGCAGCTGTGACTACAGGATCACCACTGTGTATGAAGTGAATGAAAAATATTGTGAATCGTCTTTGAAAAATCCTGAAAAGCGTTGTATAAAACTCAAGCATTATCATAAACAAGGGAGTACTGCATATCCAATACATCCAAATATGTAACCTTTGTAACCTTTGTACAGGTAATCATATTGGTGATAATGAGAAGGACATACCCCCTTCAGTATTATGTCAAATACCCACCAATGAAAAGTGAAGTTCACACTTTAAACTGAAAAATTGGTTAACTTGGTGTATTTTGAAAAAGGTCCTTCCTTTATTAAATGATGTATTGCATTGCTGTTTTATTTTGTAACTTGTGCTTTGAAATATATATACTTTATATGTATATATATATATAAGTGTGTATTCATTTATTCATTTGAGAAAGTAGGCACAATACATGTTAATTTCACAAACGTAAAGATGCCAGATTATAGCCTTAGGCTAATTTCCATCTGCAGACCCCGGCAGGTTGCTGTTACACACAAGTTAGTTTAAAAAAATACAGAAACACTGTACAACATTATGTATGGTCATGAGCAATACATAAATAAATAAATAATACACAATTATATAGTACCCACAGTAAATACAAACTGGATATTGCCCCTATTGAAAACATTAATATTTGTCTATGTTGTTTTTTACACCGTAGAGTTGTTCAACATTCAACCCCACTTATGGACATCTTAATATTTATGAACATTGGCCCTCTGCCCTTTATGGACCAATGGCTCTATGTGTTTTTATTGTTGCATTTTGTGTGTTTGAACAGTTTGATTCTCTGATCTGTGTTGGCAAATCAACAGCTTTGTGTAATCCTCCGAGATAACTACTGTTGTGATTGAGGGCAACACAAAAACAATTTGAATTGAATAGAATTGAATCTTTAAAGGAGCACAACTGTCTCATCTCAGGTCTAAGTGAGGTGGATCATATTTAGTGTAAAGTCTCAGGTCCCAAGACTGGTCTTCTGCTCTGCACACGTGCAGAAGAGGAGACGGCAGGAGCACAGGAATGCCAACTATGTTTCCTGGATCCAATCAGGCTCCCAACATTTTCCTCTGCTCCTCCGGCCAGACTCCCACCAGCT